CTGACCTGGCTGCTTTTTATTAAAGCATCTAATTACTAAAGAGAATTCTATTAAAGCATTTTCTTTGCTGAGGCAACCTGCTCAGTGCTTCTGAGCAGCACCAAGGCGATTTCCCATGGTATATAGTGGCAAAGCTGGCAGTGTACTTTACAGAGCTGGCCTTCACCTTGGCCATGGCTCATGGCTGATGCACTGAGTGTACTCATAATCACCACTCAGAGGCGGAAGTGTCTCAGGTGGTGTGATTGTGACTGGCTACTGCAAAACTTTCAAAGGTGCCCAAGATGTCAGTCTTTGATGCAATGGTAAAGTGCATTTTCTTTTTAAACTATCTCCTAAGACTACTTTTTTGAACTTTATTTATTTATTTTGAGAGAGAAAGACAGAGAGAGAGAGAGAGCAAGCGAGCAGGGGAGGAGCAGAGAGAGAGGGAAAGAGAGAGAATCCCAAACAGGCTCTGTGCTGTCAGCACAGAGCCTGACATGGGGCTCAAACTCCCCAACGGTGAGATCATGACCGGAGCCCAAGAGTCAGATGCTTAACTGACTGAGTCACCCAGGTGCCTCTCCACTTTTCCTTAAAAATGTTCATTTATTTATTACTTTTGAGACAGAGAGCATGAGCAGGGGAGGAGCAAAGAGAGAGGGAGACAGAGTGGACTGCACTGTCAGTGCGGAGCCTGATGCGGGGCTCAAACCCATGAACTGCAAGATCAGGACTTGAGCCAAAGTTGGACATTCATCCAACTGAGCCACCCAGGTGCTCTGTTAAGTGCATTTTCTATTGTCTCTGCTCTCGAATGGCAAGAAGGGAGAAACAGTAGGAAAGATCTCTCAATAGGTCCACATAGCACGCAAAGTGCTAGGCAACTGTATTTGTTGGTATGGTAAAATGTTCTATATTAAGTGTAAGGAGGGGCAGAAGCACCTGGGTGGCTCAGTTGGTTAAACGTCTGACTCTTGGTTTTGGCTCAGGTCATGAACTTGTGGTTTTTGAGTTCGAGTCCCGTGTTGGGGTGGGGGGGCTATGTGCTGACAGTGTGGAGGCTGTCTGGAATTTTCTCTCCCCACCTCTCTCTCTGCCCCTCCCCTGCTCACTCTTTCTGTCTCTCTCTCAAAATACATAAACTTTAAAAAAAGGTGTAAGGAGGGGTAACAAAATTATGTGTTTGGTTTCATACTAATTTTTGTTTAAGAACACATACACATGCATCAAAAGAAGTCTGGAAATATATACACCAAAATGCTAACTGCTTTCCTGGTTGGAGTCCAGATGATATTGAATTTCTTCCTTTTTTAAGTCTTTATATTCTAACTTATCTACAATAAGCAAGTGTTAATTGTGAATAAAAATGTTACGAAAAACAAATGTGTGTATGGAAGGGCACGCTGGAGCAACAGGTCTGAGCCTACGGCCATCTGTCTTATCCCCCTCAGGGTGGAGAAGACAGGAGCAGAAGTAGAGTTTCGGGGCAGCAATGGCTCTCTGGAACCTATTTTCCAAAAGAAGGACCTTTTCAACATTTTTTAAGTTTATTTATTTATTTTGAGAGAGAGAGAGAGAGAGAGAGAGAGAGAGAGAGAGAGAGAGAAAGCACAAGCATGGGAGGGGTGGAGAGAGAGGGTGAGAGAGAGAATCCCAAGTAGGCTCTGCACTGTGAGATCATGACCTGAGCCAGAATCATGACATAGATGCTTAACCGAGCCACCCGGGTGCCCCTCGACAAATTCTTATAGCTACACTGACATTACTAACATTAAAAAAGAATGTCAATAGGTTGCAAGGCAAGATTCAGAGACTATGGCACTGTTATCATATGTCTGCCCCTACCTGCCAACCTAGTCTCAGCTCTGAGATGTTAAAGCCTGGCTGTGCCTCTGAATGCATGCATGGGCAAGGACATCTGGGTGTCTTTGTCCAGGATGCACCTTTTTTTTTAAAGAAAAAAAAAAAAGCATCCTTCTAGATTAAGATGGAAGAGAAGGAGCTGCCAACCTATATCTTAGCCTGTATCTCAAGTCCTAGGCCCTGTTGGCACCTCATACATAGGCTGTCACATATCAGGGAAGTCTGACCCTCTCAGTCCCACCCTTCGAAAACCTGGTCTGATGGCCAAGTATAAGAAGGATGCAACAAGACTACTGGAAAAAGTGCCCCCACTTAAGGGTGTATATGCATGTGGGTATCTGTAACGCCATTCATGATGGAGACCCTCTATCACATGAGACTCAGCCCATGTACCTCCTTTCCCTCTCAGTTCCTTAGAACATGGTAAAATGTATGAAATAATGCTTTGGGCTCAAAGCTTTGAGAAAACTGAAGAAAGGAGGTTATATCATAGCCAGTTATGGATTACACAGATGAGAATGTACAAGTGGTACCCCCAGGTACCAAGATACTGAACTTGGCTTTTTTATCCTTTGTCAGCTGGCCTTGCAATGTACAGCTACTAAATAAACAAAAAAGGATTCATGTTTTAATTTAGATGACTCTGTGCCCCATAACTTGTCCATTTTTTCCCCCCTGGAGCCACGGTGTTTGTTATTTCTTTGCAATTTCAGAAGTTATGAAATGATTCATGGTTTTGTTGGAGCTGAAGTCAACCAAAACCATTCATAATTGTGAACAATCTCTGTTATTGTTAGAGGGAAAATGCCAAGGCATCTGTGCTTCCCAAAAACACATGGGGGGGGGGGAGAATTCCAGTTTGGAAATGGAACGGCTGTGTTTTTCCCTCTAGAGTTAAATTTACACAGACTGATTTCCAGGGAGATCATTGCGTTCTTCTCGTTGGAACAGTGGGGTGGCCACCAGAATGCATGATTTTTTCTCTCTCCTTCCTCTATCAGACATAGGGCATCCACGTGGTGACACTCTGCATACTGGTAATTACCCAATAAATGCCTGTCTCCCTACCAAGAGATAGGATTCATGGAGGTAGAACATCTATCTTATTCACCCCAAAATACAGCTCTATGTCTTGCACATAGTTAGTGCTTAAAAGAAATTATCTGTTGAATGACTGCACAAACCCCACCAGGTTAATGTCATTACTCTTTAGTGCTTTGATTCTTCATATTTATTTGTGTTGGTTGATAACATCTACAACTATAAGAGAGATTAATGTAAACGAAAACGAGAGAGAAGAATAAACTGATGATGATGGTGACGTCACAGATGCCGATGGCAAATACTCTCTGAATGCATTTTATGTGCCACCAGCATTCCACTTAATCCTTCTGATTTTATAAATTAGGTCCTATCATTCCCATCTTATAGATGAGGTAAGTGAGGCACAGATAAATGAAGGAAACTTATGCAGGATCACCCAGCAGTGGGCAGTGTAACTAGACACAGGTATCCAAATGTAAAAACACACATGCTCCACCAACACTGCCACTGGCTAAAGTACTTCTGACAACCCTTTTCAGAATGTATTTGGAATCTGAAAATACTTAATGGTGTTAAAGCTTCATTCTCTATTGGTGAGTCTGGATTTGTGGAACAAACAAAAGCCATTCAAAGCCATAAGGTGTGTGACGATTACGGACGATCACTGAGTTTGAGAAAAAAGCTGCTGGTGTGACTATAATGTCATGAGACCAGTTTGCTCTGGGGAGTCGTGGGCCAGCCTGGAAAGAGCACTTCAGGTGAGAGAAGTAACATGGTACAGTAAAGTGGAGCACTGGACTGGGAGTCCTGACTTTTGTTTGCAGTTTGATCAAACACTGGTACTTTATCTCTCTGACCCTGGCCGATTAAACTGACTGGGCTGGCCTGGACCAGTGATGTTCATACCTGTTGGAAATCATATCTGGGGATCTCTAAGGTCCCTAAGAAGGGCACTTCTATTTCCCCTTCCTCTCCTTCAGTCTACCTCTGACAGTTAACCCCACAGATTCAAACTGATCAGTGTGTGTGTGTGTGTGTGTGTGTGTGTGTGTGTGTGTGTGTGAGAGAGAGAGAGAGAGAGAGAGAGAGAGAGAGAATTGTGGGGGGAACAGAAAAGATACAATTTAACATACGTTCCCTTCTCTTCAACAGTACTAAAAGTCTTCAATATCAACTACAGCCAGAATTGCCTATATCACTCATTTCTTTTCTTCAGAGGAGATCAATGTGGATTTGCCAGCAAATGTCAACCAGGTCAGCTTCTTCTGGAAAGATCTGAGAAGTAATGATGGAAGAACACTGTTTCCTCTTAACCTATGAAGCAGCATCAGGAATGACTGCCTGGACTCAAATGGAGACTGGGCTGACACAGTCTTTACCTTGAGACCAATGCTTAGCTTCCCAGTGTCAAAATACACTGTGATTCAGACTCACCAGCTCAGGTGAAAACAGGGGAGTCTTGATCCCTCTTTGTGATGATTTCAAATGACAAAGATTTACCAAGTCCTGTACATAAAGTGCCACTCTATTTCCCTCCCTGTTTGACACATGGCCATGAGATGCACACAAGTCCAACGATGAAGATCAATATCTTACCTCCTGCCAAAATCAATGCACATTCCTCTTGGTCCAATAGGCTAGCTGCAAGGTGGGATTACTCTTTTTCTTAGTCCCAGGATAGAGCTAGGTGGTCAAAGGATAAAAGGACACAGAGGCTGCAGCCTGCAGAGCAGAATAGTCAGGGAGGCCTGAGGAAGGCTGGGCACACTCCACATCTCCATCAAAGACCCATGAAAGTGAAGGTTCTCTCTTAGCAAGCATTCCACCATGAGCACTGCCTTTGGAGACAAGTTTTAGATTGGTGTGTGTTCTAAGGGAACACCCTAGGAGCTGAGGGGAAATGACAGATGGCAGAGGCTGCCAGAGTGGAAGCCATTCAACTGCTGTGTGTCCTTGTGGCCTCTGTGGGCATCAGTTTCCTCCTTTGTAAAAGGGTGGGGTGGGGGTACCTGGGTGGTTCAGTTGGTTGAGTGTCCAACTCTGGATTTTAGCTCAGGTCATGATCCTAGGGTTGTGGGATCAAGCCCCCATTCAGGCTTCATGTCCAGTGTGTGGTGCCTGCTTAAGATTCTTTCTCTCCCTCTGACCCTCTCCCCTGCTCACTCTCTGTCTCTGAAAAAAAAAAAAAAAGATTTAGAAGGGCAGGGTAGTTGCCCTTACTCTCTTGAAGCTCCTAACTTCTTTGTGATTCTAAATCTATTTCATGTTTCTTGACAATCTACATGGACTAAGTCTTTTATTAACATCCTGATGCCACATGCCACCAGAGGGAAGTCCTGGAATTTCTTTGAGGGAGTCACACTAGAAAAAATAACTCCTCTCAAGAGGGCACAAATCTGATACCCTTTCCCCGGTCTCCAACTGCACCCTCAGAGTTGTGAGCTGTGGCTAAGCGTCTCTGCCTGGTCAGAGAATGGGTGTCATCTGTGGATCTCAAGCACCCAGACCCATATTTAAACTCCCTGGGGAGCTGGGGGTAAGAGAGACATGGATAACATTTGCAGGGGAGACTGCTGGCTGAATATTCACAAGCCAGGTGCAGTGCAGCTGTAGATGGCCATGCACTTGTCACCCCAAGTGAAACGGGTCTCCGACCCAGACCATTGACCATGGGGAGAGAGGCAGGCTGGTCTCTTCAACTGTTAGGGCTAGAATGTGCTCTCTTGGGGGAATCTCTGAGTTGGAAAGGACCGTCTGTCTGCACACCCACTGTGCTCCTAGAACAAGAGTGTTGTGGGGATGGCGGGCGGGGGGTGGGGTGGTTGCTGGTCTTCTTCTGAACCATATGCCCTCAAGAACTCCATGCTCTCAGAGAAGACTTTCTGGATATGAGAAGCAAATGACCCAGGGACTGGGGAAAATGGAAGCTGCAGAACTGAGAAAAGCTGAGTCAGCTCTGAAATAGTTCACAGGCTCATCCAGGCTTTTGTCTTTCGTGAGATCTCTCCAAACTGGCTGTTAGGACCCCATGGGAGAGGCTGAGGAATCTCAGGCCTGGCTGATTCACAGCTAACCTCTCTTTCCAGCTGTACTTCCTGAAAGACAGCGTTCAGCTGCAGGCCTCCAGCATTTCTGTCCACCCCCTCTGCAGAGATCAGTCTTGATGTGCATCCCTCCCCAATCCTAACTATCCCCAGCCTAAGACATTCTGGGCCAGAGGGCTAAGGCCATGAGTCTGGCTGGTCACGCAAGTTTTGCTCAGGCCTTTGCCACTCCCTAGACTGGTTGCCACCGGGTCCTCCAGCCAGAGACGGCGAGACAAGTAGACTCTCCTTGGGGTGTCACCAGACACCAGGAGGGCTGGGCCACTCACAGTCCTTAAAAATACCAAAGTCTAGGTAAACCCTGGCTCCTTTAGGAATAAAACAACGTGGGTGTAGGTGTCTGGATGAACACACTGCCACGGAATGGAGAGGAATCAACCACTCAGCTTAGGTATCCCAGGCAGAGTTGAGGTTACTGAAGGCAAAGGGAGGCCAGGGGCAAATCAATATCACGGCTTCCCAGCAGAGCCGGGTCAGCACAACATCTGGGCTGCTTATTTTGGTCTAGTGCCTCGGTTTTGTTTCCTCAAGAGAAAATAAAATCAACACCAGCAGGCTAAGGGTTCACATGCCATTTTGTGGTGCAAACCCCAGAGGAAGGAATGTGGAGCCTTTGGGGGGCAAGAATGCTAAGGTGGCCAAAGGGCTCTTGGTCCTGCTTTGACAGCGAGGACTACTTCCCCTTCCGGAAAGCAGCTCCAGAGGCAGCTTCATTCCTGTGATACTGCACAAGTGGTTCTCATGCTGGCAACTCTCCGGCTGGGGCAAACACAGACCTGCATGCAATAACCAGGAATAGAAATCCACAAGGCTTGGAACCTCGAGGCCTGAAACGTTCAGATGACACCGTCACCTTCCAGGAAATTGCCTCACGCTCTGCTTCTGAGTTCCACATTGTGACTTATATATCCTCTTGGGTGCTGGCTCCCCACTGATGCACAGGGAGGATAGGGCAGAGGAAGTGAAAGCCTCGCCCTGCAGAAAGCAGCTCATTTCTAACCTGGTGCCTGCTCAGCTGGAATCTGATTCTCAGAAACATGCTTTGCTGTCCATACAGAGAAGACCATCCATTCAATTTCTCAGTCAGTCAGTGAATCTTTACTAAGCATCTACTATGTGCCAGCCCCTGTTCTAAACACTGGGGGTACAGCAGTGAACAAAACAAAGTTGATGTCTACACAGAGCTCTCATTCTAGTGATAGTAACAGTAACAGTAAGTGCTCAGGAGGTATTGGAGCTGCACTGCACACCATCCTAAATGCTACACGTGGATCTCACGTAAACCTCCAAACAGTCTTGGGCAGATACTGCGGGCACCCCATTGAACAGGTGAGGGAACTGAGACTATAGCCAGATGAAATAACGTTCCCTGGTCATGGCAGGACTCAAACCCACGGAAGTGCAATGACACCTGCCTCACAAGCTATGTGAACATCTTTGATGCGGTTTCCTGATGGTGACTTCTTTTCGGCTTGTCTTGAAAGCCATTTGTGTAGAGGACGTGTTTGGCTGTACTCACAAAATGGGAAGAGGCCGTAGGCTGTCTTAAGACAATAAAAACAGAATTGTAAGTGTGAGGAAGAGATGTCCTTGTGAAGCTGTCATTCTTCTGTCCTTCTAGGAAGAAGAAGCAAAGGCTAGTTGGGGGCACCCTGCCACACCCCTTTTGAGGAGGTCAGTAGGACTAGTTTTTTTCCCCAGTATATTTACTATTAAAGTAAAAAAACCCAGGAGTGTATAAAATAATAAGTAAAAGTTGGGTATTAACTTGAGTGAGTGATATAGTTGGTCTGTGGTTGGAGGAGACCAGATCTGTGAGAGGCCGACAGTTTTCAGGCAAAAAGAGTTCTGAGGTCAAACGAGTGTGGGAAACTGAGTTGTACAAAAAGAGCTGCTGGGAGTTTTTTTAACTACAGAACTTCTCAGAGCCTTTAATATGCTAAAGACCATTGTGTTTCTCCAAGATGGGGATTTAATCGGCAGGATTTTCTAGACTTAACTTGCCTTACAACTATTTTGTGAGGGGGTATAGACCACATGTTAAAAGCTCATGCAATCAGAATTCCAAGGAATATGAACTTGGGAAACACCTGGCCCACTGGAACCACTTTCTTTAGCCTGAAACATCATTTGTCTCACTGGGCACATTTCTGAAAATGTATGAACTTCTCCAGCAACTACCTCAGAGCTATAAGGCTTAAGGGGGTCAGTCATGTTAGAGCAGACATCAGGAGGCCCTTGCCAAGGTTTTGGGGATTGTTGTTGTTATTATTATTATTATTTTTGTAGGGGAGGCTCTAGGAGGGAGAAAACATCAAAAGAGCAACAACAATAGTGAAGTATGAATTTTTAAAAAAAAGCAGATTCTGGTCTGGTCTGGGCTCTGCCGTTGTCTTGCTGTGTGCCCTCAGGGAGGTCCTTTATTCACTCCAGGCACTGGCCCCACTCACCTTTCTGAAATAGATGGGAATGGACCAGATGGCCCAGGGGCCCCTCTGGCTCCCACAATCTCTTTCTCGCTATGATCTGACACCCGGTGGCAGGCAGCACGGGGTGACACTGTAACTGAGATACACCTGCCTCCTGGGACCAGGCTCACCTTGCCAAGGGCCCTGCCCTGTTAGGGGGAAGCTACTGAGCCTCAAAGGACCAGAGGCCCTTTGGGAAATATAGGCTGGGCCACCAGGGAATCAAAAACCCTTGACTTCAGATGCCAGTGCCTAGTATCAAGCTCGGTGAGTTTCAAAAGACTCAGAGTCTGTGGTCAGATTTATGTAATTGGTTCAGAAATGAGGGGGATATTCACTTCTTTTCCTTGATCCAGTCCCTCCCAGTTGTTCCCCCAAATACGGTGATCTCCCTGATTCTACCCTATCACCACCCCTCCTTCCCACGGCTACCTGATGGTCTGTAAGCAGCTCCATGTGCTCCACATCCTGCAGAGGCCCCCAGCCCACACGCTTCTTCTTGCCCATTCCATATCTCTTGATCTTTCTCAGAACTGCCCGATTCCTTCCAGTACCTCCGCACCATACTTATTTCTTCCGATCCCTCACAACCCCCATTCCTCCTTTTATTCATTCAACAAATATGCATTAAGCACACAGAACATGCCAGGTATTCTTCTAGGTTCTGGGGATATGGCCGTGAACAAAGCAGACCTGGCCCTGTCCTTCAGGGAACATATGTTCTAGAAAGGGACAACAGAGAATGAGCAAATAAACACATGAGAGGTCGTGGCAGGTGAAGAATTAAGCAAAGGAAGGGGACAGTGAGTGATGAGGGGTGCTATTTTAAAAGACAGGCTCTCATTTTAAAAGAAGGCCTCCTGGAAGAGATGACATTTGGTTAGAGACCTGAATGAAGGTGGGTAGAGTGAGTCTGTTCTGAGCCCACCTCCCAGAGGCTCCCCAAGTCAGCCACCCTGGGCTTCAGAGGTTTGGGACCTGGCTGGGCTGGGTCTGAACAGGGACCAACCAAGTTCTTCAGAGACAGAGTAAGCCAAACTGCCCAAGTAACAGCGCGTCCTCTTTGGGACTTGAATACTCTCATTCTCTTTGCCTCTTGCTGTGTCTTTGGGCCCTGGCTTCATGATATATCCATGAAGTGGAGGATGTACCAGATCACAGTGGGGCAGGGCCTCAGTTTCCCATCTGTGAAATGTGTGAGCTGGATGGAATCTAAGAGCCCTTCCAGTTGTAAACCACTGTATGCCTCTGAACATGCATGGGTTGTGCTTCTAGAAGGAGGCCAACAAAGACACACAGACTGAAGAAACGTCACCCAAGACCCAGCGGAATGCTGTTACTCCCTCCTTAGAGAGGTGATGGGAAACTCCGTCACTGAAGCGTTAACCTGACAAGAGGTCCCTTCCCAAAGGCCCTTAGCTCTCCCGACATCAGAGTCTTGTAGGCCAAGTCTCTGCGGTCTGTTTCACATACCACCTTGGACCTCTGGTTTATAGAAAACAAACCATAAAGGTTATTCCAACAGCTTCAGGGCTATTGCATTCTCTCCCCACCCACTCTCTGACTGGGGATGAAGGGCAGAGCTATAAAATCTGCTTGAGAGGTAAGCCCTTATCAGGGGGCCAGGCAAGGCACTGTTTGCTGAAGGCCCCATTCGCCCAGGTGCAGCCACCATCCAGGTCTGAAACAACAGATGGCCCGGGCTTGGAAGTGAACATCCCGTTTCCTCTGGACAAGCCATGTTTACACAGGGACAAGTGGCACGAGATCCCGCTGAGGGGATGGAAGAGACCAGGCCCCACACCCGGCTCCACTGTGGTCTTTGCACACTGGGCTGGATGACTTCTGGTATATAAAACTCACACCAGGAGCTTACCACCCACGAGCAGCAGCTCTAATGGAAGTTCAAAAAAACAAAACAAAACAAAACTATAATGTAAGTAGCTAAATAATCAAAAGCATCATTTTTACAGTAAAACAAACAAGACGAGTTTGTTTTGTGATATGAATTTCACATGAGGTTTTAGAATAAAAAGCCAGATATCACAGAAACTCTGGGCCTGAAGTAGGCTGCTTCAGGTGATGTCCTTTGACCTTCCTGGGCATACACCCTTCTTCCAGGAAGGCTCTCTGGTGGAAGAGCCCGAGAAGCTTTAGGAACATAAATAGCGGGGCTTTCTTCCATCCCCAGATATTCACTGGGTGCCTGCCACGGTTTTAGACACTTTCCAGTGAGATTCACTTAAGTTTCTGGGCCAAGTGTTTCTTTTGTTTGTTTGTTTGCTTTGATTCCATAAGATTGAGATAATGAAACTTGCCTCACTGGGTTATTGTGAAGATTAAGTTCTTTCTTTTTGTCTGTCTGTCTATCACCTCCTAGAACAGTACCTGGTGGTCAGCAGAGATCCCATTACTTGTAGCTTCTATCCCCCAACAATCAGTAAAGACAACTGTGGTGTCTTCCAACAAAGCAGACATTCCTTAAAATGATTCTACCTCTACTCTCCTAATCCTCCTTTTGAGCATTAAAGTCATTTTTCATTTCTCCTTCATCACAAAGATTCACTCAGAAGCATTCAGTTATACACAGAAAAGGAAATTCATTCAATTGACAAATATTTGTTGAGTTCCTTCTATGTGCCAGGCACACAGCAGAGAACAGCTGATCCCTGCTCTCATGGAGCATACATGGGGAAACACAGATAATGAACAAAAATATATATATACATGTCAGAGGATAGTAAGTACTTTCAGGAAGAAAAAGGCAGAGAAAGAGAAGAGGTAGTAACAGTAGGGTGGGATGCTGGTTTACATGGGGTGGGTGGTCGGAAAAGACCTAAGAGAGAGACACTTATGTGGACCTGAGGAAGTGAGGCAGTGAGGTGAGGAGACGTGCTCACAGCACGCAGCAAACTAATGAGCAGACCTGGGACCTGGAACCAGCCAGGCTCTTCCCACTGCACTAGCCCCAGGCCAGCAGGCTAGGGTTGAGAGTGGGTTGGAACCAGAGGGGGTATGCTCCCGTGATCCACAGGGGCGTGGGAGAAACACTAACATTTCTAGTTACAGTAATTTGTAGTTAATTTTCCTATTTGTCCCTATGCATTTTAACATACAGAATATAATTACATATATTAAGGATACAGACCCAAACATGTTTTACTAACGAGGGGCAACATCCAAGATGTCCAGGGAGACCTGCTACCTCCCAGGTGTGCTCGACCTATCCTAGTGCAGCCTGGCTGGGCCCAGACTAGGCCTGGGGGAACTTTGCTCACTGGTGGCACTTGGAATACATGAACCTGTCCAGATGGAGGTAGGCCGGACCCTCTCCCTGGCTCTGGAAAGTGCCACCAGCTCCAGAGCAGTGCTCAGGGTCACCTGGTCAAGCCCACCCCAGGGTGAGACCTTCCTGTCGATCCTGCTATGCCACACATGCGTTAAGCAGGTAGGCAGTGAAGGGGTGGGGTGGGGATGGAGGTGGTGGCCAGAGAACACACACTCGTCTATAAAGCAATGCCACTTCTTACTTTGTTCTCTTTTAAAAAATGCCATAGAAGGCAGAAACCAAAATGAAACAAACAAGAAAAGCTCCCCATCTTCAAAAAAATAAAAATAAAACAAAAAACCCAAAACCCCCATACTCCATTCACATCTGAGGGTGAAGTATGGCCTCTAGGCAACCATCCTGCAATCTCTGGTCTGGAGGCTGTTCCCAAACCTACTCAAGACCCACTTCTAAAATCCTAAGAAATGTATTGTAGAGCCGAAGATGGCATAGTTTCTGGCTACAACACTTAGGTTCTTGAGAGTGACATCAAACCCAACTAAGTTCAAACTCAGCTCTGCCATTTACTGGCTGTCCAACCTTGGCCAGGGTTTTAGCCCCTTTTATCTGCACGTTATTGCTCTGTAAATGGAGAAGAAACCACCAACCGCACCGGTATTGGAAGGATTGACATTTAAATGAGATGAAGTAGGCACACGCCCAGAGTTTGTAAAACAGATGTCTAATACGCATCTGAAAGTGAAAATGGCCACAGCAGAACCATGTTTGCCCCTCACCACCTCAGTGGAGGTCACCACTACCACAGAGCTGCTCAGCCCGAAGCCCTTGGAACACAGTTCTTGCCTCCTGACTGTCCACAGCAGAACCGTAGTGTGCCAGAGTGGGCTCACCCTGGCTCGCAAGAGCTGCCTGTGCATCACGCACTGTCAGACTGGTAGCCTGGAAGCAGCCATGGTGGGAATGGGACACCACA